ATTGTGTTCAGTCTTGGGCTCCTTACCTTGGAAATACATTGAATTGTTGGAAAAGGTTCAGAGTAGTGTTACTAGAATGGTGTCTGGGATGGAAGGGGTATCATATGAGAAGAGGTTGAAATCTCTCAAATTGTTTAAACTAAAAAAAAAGACGAGTTGGAGGGGATCTGATTGATGTGTTTAAGATTGTAAAGGGAATTGATAGTGCTGATGCATCATCTTTTTTCATATTAACAGTGAGAATAGTAGGACTAGGGGACATAAATATAAATTTTGGCAGGGTAGGAGTCATCTTCAGGTAAGATAGTTTTATTTTTCTAACAGAGTGGTTGGCCTTTGGAATGGGTTGCCTTCAGATGTTGTGGAGGCAGTAACTTTAAGCAAGTTTAAGAGAAAGCTTGATATCTATATGAATGATAAGAGTTGGCTTTAGTAATTGTTTTTAATTTATTTATTCAATAGTTTTAATTAAGTTTAGAAGATGGAACAGTCAAGGTGGACCAATAGGTCCCATGTTGTCCCTAAACATCATGTTATGTTATTACTGACCTGTTACTTGAAGGTTTGGAGATTTATGTGGTTAGAGGTTGTTACTGACATGTTGCTGGAAGGTTTGGATATTTATATGGTTAGAGTTTGTTACTAACATGTTGTTGGAAGGTTTGGAGATTTATATGGTTAGAGGTTGTTACTGACATGTTGTTGGAAGGTTTGGAGATTTATGTGGTTAGAGGTAGTTACTGACATGTTGTTGGAAGGGTTGGAGATTTATATGGTTAGAGGTAGTTACTGACATGTTGCTGGATGGTTTGGAGATTTATGTGGCTAGAGTTTATTACTGACATGTTGCTGGATGGTTTGGAGATTTATGTGGCTAGAGTTTATTACTGACATGTTGCTGGATGGTTTGGAGATTTATGTAGTTAGAGATAGTTACTGACATGTTGTTGGAAGGGTTGGAGATTTATATGGTTAGAGGTAGTTACTAACATGTTGTTGGAAGGGTTGGAGATTTATGTGGTTAGAGGTTGTTACTGACATGTTGTTGGAAGGTTTGGAGATTTATGTGGCTAGAGTTTATTACTGACATGTTGCTGAAAGGTTTGGAGATTTATATGGTTAGAGGTTGTTACTGACATGTTGGAAGGTTTGGAGATTTATGTAGTTAGAGGTTGTACGGACATGTTGTTGGAAGGTTTGGAGATTTATATGGTTAGAGGTTGTTACTGACATGTTGTGAAAGGTTTGGAGATTTATATGGTTAGAAGTTGTTACTAACATGTTGCTGGAAGGTTTGGAAATGTATATGGTTAGAACTTGTTACTTACATGTCGTTTGAAGGTTTGGAGATTTATGTGGTTAGAGCTTGTTAATGATATGCTGTTAGAAGGTTTGGAGATTTATGTGGTTAGAACTTGTTACTTACATGTCGTTTGAAGGTTTGGAGATTTATGTGGTTAGAGCTTGTTAATGATATGCTGTTAGAAGGTTTGGAGATTTATGTGGTTAGAGCTTGTTAATGATATGCTGTTAGAAGGTTTGGAGATTATGTGGTTAGAGGTTGTTACTGATCTATTGTTCGATTGTAAGGAAGAGTTATGTGGTCAGAATTTGTAGAGATCTGTTGTTAGATCACTTGGAGATTCATGTGGTCAGAATTCATTACAATACCTTCTTTTTTTTAATATGTTTTGTTCAGTTCAGATTAAGCATTTTTCTTGTAACCTTAAATAATTTTTAGCCGCAGACAGGTGGCTCATAGAACGTCTGTTTTTGTGGTTATTTTTCAAATCCAAACTTTTAGCCCATAGCCCTATCATCTCTTGACGATATGTGATCTAATTACAGTTTATCCTCAGGAGATCATACCCTTTTGATTTATGTATTTGACCACACCCAAGGTCTCATAGATTAATTTATTCT